GTAGTGCCGGATTGTTTCAAATATTTAGTTTTCGGAGTTAAGTATATTGTTTGTTTCTAATACGGGTAGTCTGTTTAAAGGTCTCTGACTTCTTGAAGCAAAGGAACTGCAACGGTGCTGTGTACATTTGAGGATATGGTGTGGATTTGTTAGACTTCCGACAATCGCAGATGTACATTTTTGTAGTAATTAATATTTTTTACTCGTAAAATGTATCAGTGACGTTATTGCGAGTGTATGTGATATTTATATTTAGGTGGTGTTTGAAGATGTTTAAGAAGTTCAGCGACAAAGAAAACATTACTTCGGTTCAGCAACTGAAGTCATCTGTTCAGAAGGATGTTCGAAGGAAGGTGTTGGCATTGTATCCGCTGATAGAACCGTACTTGGACCAGATTCTGCCAAAGAAGGAAAACCTGCGAATTTTAAAGTGCCACGAACACGTCGAAATCCTAGTCGGTCCCCACGGCGACCTGTTGTTTTTCAAATCCAGGGACGGTCCTTTCATGCCTACCTTACGTCTACTGCACCAGTACCCGTTCCTGTTGCCGTGGCAGCAGGTGGACAAGGGTGCAATCAGATTCGTGCTCAGCGGTGCCCAGATCATGTGCCCGGGCCTCACGTCGCCCGGCGCTAAGATGACCGACGGCCTTGCCCGCGATCAGGTGGTCGCCGTTATGGCCGAGTGTAAGCAGCACGCAATGGCCATCGGTCTAATGAAGTTGTCCACGGAAGAAATCAGGCAGACGAACAAAGGCGTTGGCATCGACAACATTCACTACATCAACGACGGTCTGTGGCAGATGAAACCTGTCAAGTAGACAACGAGGACTCGACTCGGCCGACGGTTAAGGCTTATGCGCTTTCTGCTGACATGCCGCTGTCATGGCTTTGCTCCCGAAACTTATATGTTTATCACGATGTGCAAGATTCATGTTAACTGTAATAAACTCATTACTATCATTAAACAGATTTTCTTTTCGGATACCATCCTTGCAAGGAGTTCTAAAGAAAGTGATCTTGACAAAAATGTTTTCAAAGGATAAAACGGAAAACGGTCAAATACACAATGACACTAACAGTTTCTAACCAGGTGCAAGGGTTCATGCCCACTAGTTTGTTCTAACATCATTCTCATGGCGAGAAAATGCATCAGTTTTCGGATATATGTTGAATAACATTTCCGTAATGGTTCTGACACTTCAGGAAAGTGCATTTATGAACGGTCGAATAAACGCATGCTCACTGTTTAGTTCGTTTGATGTCAAGAAACTTTTTAATGCAAATTTCGGCATTTCTATGGTCTTACCGACATCTGCCGGATGTGTCTATGAAATATTCTTTGAAAATGTTTCATTCAGACTTTAAAAAAATACATTAAACTCTCGGAAACTGCATCAAGGAAGACTTGACGGTTGAATTACTAGTTCTTAATGATGGTGAGAAACTCGTGCAGAGAACATACCTGGTGCACTATCCACCGCTTCAAAAATTATTTCGAGCTAATGCTGATTTATTTTTGAAGAAAATAAAGGTAATAAAACGGCGGATCGATAGATGAACGACAAATATAAACAGTTCAAGGGTTTTCAACTAGCTTTTCCATTGACTTACATTCATAGCAGCTTGTTAAATTATATGTTCTTTAGCGCATTACTATTTCTTATAGACAA